AGGGCAGGCTCCGCCAGCTTCAAGACCATTGGCTCTTCCATGATGGTCTGGGAACAAGAAGCCCAGGTTGGAGGCCTGTTACCTGGGACCCCACACACACAGTCCCACCCCCGGGTACACCGTCACCCATATCCGAGCTTCACTTTATGCCTCAGGGAAGAGGGGCTAACTTTGCCTTTCCCTATGGGTTCTGGGAGGTTGGCTCACGGCTGCCTCTGCTTTCCCTTCTCTGTCTAGATTTAGGCAAGGGGCAAGGCAAGACCAGGTCCCAGGAACCTGGCTGAGACCAGAGGCTGATGCTTAATGCACCTTCAGCCGCAGAGCCTCCCAGATCATGTCCCGAGACTGGGCCCTGGTGGGCTGCCCCTACCAAATGCAGGGAGTCGCTCTCCACCTGGGGGTGTTCACCCGGCAGTGGCTCCCACCCAGCCAGCCGGGAGGTCCCTGGGGACAGGCAGCCACAGCCTGTCTGCCTCCCCACCCCACCCCAACCCTCCATGGTGAGTAAGATTTCCTTCTAGGCCTGGTCCCAAAGGTGGCCACTTGGTAAAGCATCATCTCATAGATGCCGCCCCATCTCCCGGACCCCCAATTGGAGGGCCTGCCACCCTCTGGTCTGGCAGGGGCCCAACTACCTTGCCAAAGCAGAGCAGCAATATCGCCAAGACCAGCCTAAGTAATAGACGTTCCTGAGCTTGCCGGCATGTTCTGGCAGCCAGAGGTAAGGACTCAGCACAGCGCCTCTTCCCATGGCCCGTCTTGTTCCACGGGCAGAGGGCACGGCAGGGGCTCCAGGGCCCAGGCCCTGCCATGTCCTCCCCAATTCCCCCAGGTCACATCCCTTCTGGGAAGGAGCTATCCTACAGGCTACACCTGCTGGCCCATTCCCCTTAACACTGGGGTGCACAACTCTGAAATTCCCCGTCAGCCCCAGGTCCATGGTTCAACTCAAGGAGTCCTGAAGCCTCTGGCCAAGGTCTCCAGGGCAGTGGTCACGGTGCCCCAGGGAAGCTCACAGCAGAAAGCCCAGGGCCCATGACCTGAGCCCTGCTGCTCCTCCCAGTGTCCAGAAACACAACCCCACCCCCACAGCACTACAAGGATGGCTAGATGGAGCAGAGTGATTGCAGGCGTTTTTGCAGCCTGCCACAGTGTCCCTAACAGAGGTATTGGGAAGGACAAGGAGAATGACTAAGTAGTCATAAAAATGATAGGAAACCGTTATTTACATAGAGTGGGAGTTCAAAGCATGTTTAATGAACAATTCTCATATTTATAGATGAGGTTCAGAAAAGTTCAATAACTTCTTTAGTCACACAGCCAACTAGTGGGAAGAGCTGGAATTTGCACCCAGGGCTGTTTTGATTGCAAAGCTCGCGTTCACAGCTGCCACCCGCCACTGGCTTGCCAGCACAGGTTATTCAGTTCCATCATTAAGAGGCACTAACACTAACGGAAGCTTTAATCTAGGTTGGAAGCCCTGTTTCTCCCTTTGTTCACAGCTGCCACCTGCCCACTGGCTTGCCAGCACAGGTTATTCATGGGAGTGCCATCATTAAGAGGCACTAACACTAACAGAAGCTTTAATCTAGGTTGGAAGCCCTGTTTCTCCCTTCTGACCTTTCCCTTTATTGTTTTCAGACAATGAGAATGACCTCATTTTAAGATACCAGCTGTCTGTCCAGCTTCTCACAGGGGCAGGGCAGTCAGCCAGACAGGAACTAGAAACCAGAGATAATGTGTTTAAAAAAAAAAATCACCCACTCACACCAGCAAAGACCTAGTGGAGTGTGTCGACTTCCACCCTCGCCAGGCTGTATGGAGGCACCTCAGCCCCCGTCTGGTGGGCAGGCGGTTGGTGGTGATGTCAGAGAAGGCGCACAGCGTGGGGGCCAGGACATGGATCCCTGCCCCTGCGGATACTGAGGAATCAGTCCTTCACTCCCTGGGGAGAGCCCCCACCCGTCAGAAAGAGCAGGTCCACCCTCTCGCCACTAGGTGGCGTTAGAGGCGGCTTTCTCCACCGCACAGGCACGGAGGCGCCTCCCTAAGAACGCAGGCATGCTGTTTCCAACGAAGGGGCTCTTGCCTTCCCCCACCCCCAGGAAGAAAGCAAGAGAGAAGGCAAAACAGATGCAAAAGATGGAGTGTTTACTGGGGAGCCTACACGAATAAAGAGTACGGCTCCCCGAACTGCGGCCGGGTCCGGTAGGTACAGATCTCGCTTCATCACTGCAGGCGCGGAGGTGATTTCTTTGCTTAACAGGTTCCCGCTGGGAGCTAGTACCGCGACCCCCGCGCAGCACGGAGCTCTTCACTTTTGAGGTTCCTGGTTTTTGCTCTTCAGGGTCCCCCCAGGGGCTGGCATCCACTGCGCAGGTGCAGAACGGAGCGTGTGGCTCTCAGGAAATCCCTGCTAGCGCGGGCGGAGCACGGAGCTCTTCACTTTTGAGGTTACTGGTTTTTGTTCTTCAGGGTCCCCCCCCCCAGGGGCTGGCATCCACTGCGCAGGTGCAGAACGGAGCGTGTGGCTCTCAGGAAATCCCTGCTAGCGCGGGCAGGTATCCACCGGCGCATGCGCAGAGAGGAGCTCTTTTGGGAGTGCCTGAAAAGAAACTTGAAACTTATCTAGGAAAGACTCAAAAACAACAACAACAACACAACAACAACCAGCATTCCCTTTGTTTAAGAGAGACTCAGCCTGGCTCAGTACTGTCCCTACCATCAAGATGTCCCTGGAGCCCTGATGGGGAGGGAGCTGGGACTCCACCCACCACTCCACCACTAAGGAGAACCCCGCTGCTCAGGAGTTAATAAAGGTCAAGGGGGGAACCTGGATGTCCACACTCACCTGGCAGTAATGAGGCAGGACCCCCACCCCTTGAACAGTGTCTTCAACAGGGCCTGGGGACCAGGCTCCTGACACTCAGAACCCCTGCTGAGACCTTGAGGTGCAGGAGCCCCCGTTTTGGCGGCCCTTCCTGACAGCCTCGGTCCCTGTCTCCTGCTGTGACCTGCCTTGGAAGGCCTGTCTCAACATCTGGCTCTCCCTTCTCCTCAACCACGTGGGCTCTGGCACAGCCAGAAGCAGTTAGTCTCTACTGTTAGTTGTCTGGTGCTGCCACGGCCAGAAGAGTCGATTTCCCTGGGGCTGGCAAGCCAAGGGCACATCGAAGTGCTCAGACCTGTGCCCTGGTGAAGAGAGTGGGAGCCATGGACTCTGATGGTATCCTGATCTTGGCCTGCCGTGTCCCAGGCAGGTGTCAGGTCACCTCTCCTGTTCTTCCTGGGGATGGTCTGGCCCACCCTCCTTGGGCCTCCAAGGACACTGGCCTCTCACCTGCCAGTTCCATGCGAGGCAGCTCAGCACCATACCCAAAACCACGGCTCCAGGCTCAGATAGGCCTGGGGCTGAAGCATGTGGGCAGCCAGCTGTGTGGTCTTGAGCCTGTAACTTGACTTCTCTGAGAACTGAGCATGCTGCTGCCGGTGATGGGTGAGAACAGTGCCTGATACTTACTGATCACTCCACAAACATTGGCCATGATCACCTATCCTGGGGCCAGAGTTGAGAGCGAGCTGGGAACCAAGGCTCAGGGTTCTGCTACGCCTGGTGTGGGACACGCAGGGGTTGGCATCACCCAATGGGAGGTTTGAGGGGTCAGGATCAGCTAGGAAAGGGAAGGCCACTAGGAGCTGCTGCTGATGATCCTTCTACTCAATCAAGAAGGTAGGGATCCCCAGAGAAGAAAATCCTGCTCCTCCACTGTGGAAGACCACCTATTGTTTTCACTAGCTGATAAGCGTAGACAGAGAATCCCCCGAAGGCTGGGTGCCTTTGAAGCCCTAGCAAAGGTTGGAGCTAGGCGCCACCTCTGTTTGTCCAGACAGTGGTAGCTGAAGCAACTTCCCCATTTATTATTATGTAAATCCTTGCTACCAGGGGAAGTCCTTCCTCCTGAGTTGTACTTACCCGCCTGGCCCCCAAATATTTCCAATTATCTCTTGTCTTTTCTCTTTCATTTTGAACCACGCAGGACGTGGAGGGAAACATTCACCAACACTCTACCACCACTGTGGGCAGCTCCTTCATTCCCACCCATTCCCCTGCATGCTGTGTATCAGGATTTCAGTATGTGCCCTTGGACCCCACCAGATGTGGCTCTGACAGCTCAGCCCTTGCCTTGTCCCTGGAGAGGGGCGAACTGGTCCCCTAGGCGGCAGGGGGATAGTGACAGTGTAGCCGGTCAAGTGGAATGAAGTTAACTTAGAAGAGGACGTTCTGCCAAGGAAAGGCGGCGGCCTGCAAGCGGGCCACGTCAGAACAAAGTCTTGCACGCAAGATTTATTGTTCAGAGGCAGAATTTCCTTGAGGTGATAAATAGTCCATGAGGGCATGGAAAGTACAAGGGAGGGTACACTGCTGCAGGTGGAAAGGGTCTTTGTATAACATAGGAAATTAATAGTTTAATGTATAACTTAGCTCAGATGATTTCATAGGCATGCCTGTTTACCATTGTCACTTGCTGTACTCCATTGTTACTTGCTGTACTCCCCAATAAAAGCCATGAGAACTTTGGAGGTTTTGCTACTCGCCTGAGCGAGCGGTAGCCCTCTGCTTCTCTAAACTCAATCCTGCTTGCCGAGCTCATCTCAGCGTCACTGTTCACCTGCAGAACACCTGCAGACAGAAAGATAGCAGAGTCCTTTACATCTGCCTGGCCACCCTCAGGTCACTGGGCACCTTCCTGCAGCCTGAGCTTAGCGCCCCCCCCGCCCCATCATTACCCAAGGGCCATGGTTGGCTGGACTTAACTGTGGCCATGTGCTTGATTCTGGCCTCCTTCCCTTGTGCTGCTCTATCATGATAGCAGGCATTCTTTCACTTTGTGGGGGTCCCAGAACCCTCCCTCTCTCAGACTCTGACTCCCTAGGTTCACTGGTTTTGCCTCTGGCCCCTGAGGGCTCCCCCAGTCTGCTGGATGCCAAAGGCTCTGGCTTTCAGTAAGTGATACAAACTCTAGTCAGGGGTCCTCAAACTATGGCCCGCGGGCCACATGCAAATACAAATATTGTATTTGTTCCCATTTTGTTTTTTTACTTCAAAATAAGATATGTGCAGTGTGCATAGGAATTTGTTCATAGTTTTTTTGTAAACTATAGTTCGGCCCTCCAATGGTCTGAGGGACAGTGAACTGGCCCCCTGTTTGAGGACCCCTGGTGGTGGCTCCTGGTAGAACCGGAAAACCTTTCGCTCCCATTGCCCAGCTGGCATGGACCACCTGCTCCAAAGATCAAGCCACATGCACCTAGCCAGGAGTTAATCATTCCTGAGAGGGGGACAGGGTGCTGCCCCAGGGCCTCCTGCAGAGTCAAAGTCTGTGGACAAGAAGTGCTCAACTGGGAGCGTAAGGGCAGCTTACCCAACCTCTGCAGCAACAGGATGTCTGCTTGCCTATAATCAGCCTACCCCTGCTTGCTGGACCGTGCAGCCCCACATCCTGGCACAGTAAGTTTACCAAGGCTTTGAACCGAAGCCAAGTCCCCAGGTGTTGGCAGCCGGTGTCAGCCAGAGGTCTGTTACAACCTAATTTTTAGCAAAAGAGAACATTAGAAACCATACAAAGACCCGGAAGCAAGAAACAGAACCTAGGCCTATATAAGACTAGTTTCAGCAGAATTGAGGGGCTCAGCCTTGGGAACTGGTCCCCTGATCCAGCACACTGGTGTTTTGAATAACGGTGAATTTCTGCATCTTCCGAGTGCTTAGTGGTTTGTCTTCCCATCTCTCGGTTACTCTGCTGTAGCAGGAGGATCTCGCTGGGCAGGGAGCGGCTGGGAAGCCCACATAGGTCTCCCAGCTTCAGAGTTGGGCGGTGAGGAGGAAGTGGTGGAGAGGAGGATGAACCTCAGAAGCACAGCTGGTTTGGGGAAGTAGTGGGTCCTCAAAGAAAGAAACCACATGTGGCCAGGGCCTGGAGCCAGTGTCTCCTTGCTGAGCCCAGGGATCTAACCCCCAAAGCAGATTGCCACCCCCCCTCCAGCCACCCTCCCGCCCAACCTCCCCGAGCCCGAGATAAAGGTTCATTTCTGAGTTTCTGATTTAAAAATAACCAGGAGCCATCCACTAGCAGAGTGTGTGCACTTATTGGTCATATATTATACTCCATTCACTGAATCACACACGTTTTATTTCATATGACACATACATTTTGGAGGTCTTTTTATAAGAGCACATGAAAACATGCCTCATTTTAAAAACTTGACTACAGCCCTAACCGGTTCGCTCAGTGGACAGAGCGTCGGCCTGCAAACTGAAAGGTCCCAGGTTCGATTCCGGTCAAGGGCATGTACCTTGGTTGCGGGCACATCCCCAGTAGGGGGTGTGCAGGA